TCTCTCCTATGGTACGTGGCGGCGGCGCGGCGTGGCGCAGTAGCCAGCCGGTCTGATCACATGACCCCGGCCAATTATCGAAATTATTCTTCATTACCAGCGGCTAGGCTACCTCCTCCTCCTCCCCCTCCTCCTCCCCCTCCTCCCCCGCGACGCGCACGCGGAGGCGCGGCGTCCTGGACCGGGTCAACGAGGCTGACATTCACCACCCCTCGTGCGGTGTGGCCCGGGCCGGCCCAGGCCTTTGTGCTCGGTTGTGCAGCAGGGCGGAGCGGGGCGGAGCGGGGCGGGGCCGCTTTGATGGGCAGTGTGTCGTGGCCTGGCGTGGCGTGGCGGCCTGCGACACCACGTCTACCCCGATCACAATGCAAGGGCTCGGCCACAACCTTGCCGCGCGCGTGTGTGTGAGAGGGGGATAGGGGGGAGGGGAGGAACAGGATCGACAGGAGGAGATTGGAGGGGAAGAGAATGCGGTGTGGCGCTTCCGTCCGTTTGAAGGAGCAGCTCGCCATGGAGCCCGCGCGGCCCCGGGCAGGACACAACACCTGCCACAGCCGACCGGGGCGCGGGCACGACGCAGTCCATGATAACCACATCGTTTATGCACCCCCTCCCCCTCCTCCTCTTCCTCCCCCCCTCTCTGTCTGTCTGTCTGTCTGTCTGTCTGTCTGTCTGTCTGTCTGTCTGTCTGTCTGTCTGTCTGTCTGTCTGTCTGTCTGTCTGTCTGTCTGTCTGTCTGTCTGTCTGTCTGTCTGTCTGTCTGTCTGTCTGTCTGTCTGTCTGTTTCTCTCTCGCTCTCTCTCGCTCTCTCTCGCTCTCTCTCGCTCTCTCTCGCTCTCTCTCGCTCTCTCTCGCTCTCTCTCGCTCTCTCTCGCTCTCTCTCGCTCTCTCTTGCTGCGCTGTGCATTGCATTGCAATCAGGGCCCGAGCTCGCCCTCCCTTTGGGCCCCGACTGCCACACGTTTCATTAGACACAAGCTGATCGTAATTGCGTGCGCAACCTGGCGGCGAGGAGGGCGGCGTCCAGGGGTGGTGCGGGAGGGGGGGGGGCGTGGCCGGGCGTCGGCAAGTAGTCTGTGTCTAGCAGACGTTAATTTGGCAAAGGCAGGGACACGATCGGACAGGAAAGGGGCGCGGCGGGGGCGAGCAGGGCGGGGTGAGTCCAAGGGGGGCGCGCAGCAGGAGGAGCACCGGCGCACGGCGCCCCCCGGGTACGGAATCCTAATTGGGAGGGCGACTCGGAGGAGGATCGCTTCCGGCGCACGGCACGTCCCCCCCGCCCCGCCACAGCGGCAACGAAACGAACAAGCCCTGCTCCTCGCGTCTCATTAGGCCTGATCAGCTTTCAGGGGGGTGCTCGACGACGACGTGGCCGAGGCCGAGCAAGGGTCGCCGTTTTCAGAACTCTTCTGTGGTGGGTGACTCTGCGGTGCAGGTGGTCAGCAGCTGGGGCCCGGGGGTGCCCGACAACGGCGCCCCGCCCATGGGGCGGCGCCGCCACCTGCAGTTGGGCGAGGTCGGGTTTAGGTCAGGTCACCGAGGGTCGCGGCTCCCGGCCCAGCGTGGGAACACCCTCGGGAGCACCGCACCTAGGGCGTGGTGGGGCGGGGCGGGGCGGCGCAGCACATCGCGTGCTCGGCCCGCAGGAGGCGCCAGCACGGGGGCGCCGCCTCGCTTCTCGTGCCTCTCGTTAGCCCGCTGCAACATTGTCGCTCATGCTCCGCTTGTCCTGCCCCCCAGCTACCAGACGGGCGACGGCATCAGCGCGCAGGCGGCGGGCTTCACCAGGAACCTGGGCATCAAGGACGCCGAGGCGCAGGTGGTGCAGGGCTCGTACTCGTACACGGGGCCCGACGGCGTCGTCTACACCGTCAACTACATTGCCGACGAGAACGGGTACCGGGCCCAGGGCGCGCACCTGCCCACGCCTCCCGCGGTCGCCGCCGTGCCCAAGGCCCTCCCGTACTACAACCAACAGCAGGCGACGTACCAGCAGCAGCAGGCGGCCTACCAGCGGCCGCTGCAGCAGCCCTACCAGTACCGGCCCTTCCAGCGGCGCTACTAGCGCGTGCCGCAACTGGGGCGCCCCGTGCCCCGCCCGCGGGCCCGCCCGGGGCACTCTGACGCCACGCTCCGCCACGCCGCTGCAGCCACACTTCCGATCCGACTGATTTGACGCGCCATTTCACTATGGGCCGGCCTCTGATCGCTCGGGTGGGAGGCGAGAGGAGAGGCGCTTCCTGGAGGAGGCAACGACGGCGGCCCCTGTCCTGTTGGCCTGCACTGCCGTCCGCGGCGCCGTACGGCACAGCGAAATTTGGCTTGTTATTTGATCGCGGAAAAAAATTGAGCTGCTCTTTTTTTTTAGGTTTGCTTTGATTCAAGTTGTTGCTTTCGCTGGGTCTGATGTGATGTGCTTTCTACGACCTTTCTTCTCTTTTTTTTTGATAATTTTTTTTGTGAATAAAAAAGAAATGAGGGATGCTCTTTGACTTTCGCTCTCTTCTTTATCCTCACGCCACCCTCGTTACCCGGCTATACACAGGCCTGCCGCGCGCTGCCCGCGGGCCGCCGCCGCCACCGCTCTGTCCACATCCTTAATGAAGCCGTGTGGCGGTAGCCGCCGAGTCAATAACCAGTTGAACTGATCGGATGAGCGCACGCATGGACCCGCCGCAGGAAGCCAGCGGGACACGTCACTGGTGAAAAGTAAAAAGGGCGTAAGTCCACGCGGACTTTGGATTGGACTTACGCCCTCCTCACTTTTGACCATAGTGATGTGACGTACGGCCGGTGGCATAGTCTCTGAGGATCTTTGGGATGAAGGGCGCGGCGCGGCGCCCACCTGTCCGGCAGCGTCCTGAGGCCGACGACGCACGATATGCGCGGGGGTGCGGGTCAAGGAGGACGCGAGGACGGTCGGTGGTGGGCAGGGTCACTACTGTGAGGCGGTGCGCGTGCGGCAGGATGGACGGACACGGCAGAAGCGGCTGCGGCTAATTCTCGCCTGCTGCAACATCAAGTCGATTGGATTGGACCCCACGGGACCACGCCCCGCCCCGCCCCGCCCCGCCCCGCCTCGCCTCGCCCATCTCCTTCCCGCACCCAGAAAACCGTTTCTTTGAATTAAAGAAATTTTATTTAATTCAACGAAAATTTCGTGCCAGAAACCAAAGAAATCTTTTTCGTTCATATAACGAAAAAATTTCTTTCACTCAACGAAAGTTTAGTCAGATTGAACAAATTTTCGGTGAGATAAAGAAATTTTTCTTCAAATCAACGAAAATATCGTCAGTTCGTGATTTCGTTAAGTCAAAGAAACGGTTTTCTGGGTGCGCCTCTCCCCACCTCTGGTCCACGCGACGAGCCGACAGTGTGTACTGGTCTGTATTATTTCTATCCGACGGGGCGGGGCCAGCCTACCGCGTTCATAGTGCCGTCGTCCAGGAGGTAAATCATACGCGGGGCGGCCTCCTCCTCGTGTGTATCCCATCCTCGGCGCGAGAGAGACGGAGCGTGACCGCGGCACATTCAAATAAGGTTCCGGTCCAATACAATACAGCCTCATCCCTGATGAGGCATCGTCCAAAGAACGTACGTTACGTTACGTTTCCCTCCGATTCATTCGCCGCAAATTACGCGGGAGCTCGGCGCCTGCGATACGTAGGATAGGCACCCCCGCAGAACACGTATGCACTGCAAGCGAGATGTTGCCTACCCATCAGGCGCTTCGAGAGCTTGCATTCTAGGCTGAACTCGGTACTTTCATTACGGCGAATGAAGGACGTATTTTCTAAATGATCCCTAAAAAAAAACTCCCGAACAACACTGTGCAGCCGAGCAACGCGCCGGCCAGGGCCAGCAGCAACAGGCCCTCGCCGCCTACAACGCGCTGCCGAGAGGTCAAAGCACTAACGCTCCACCTCCCGCGCGGCTCTATGACCCTGGCTGAACGGACTAGGATCCAGACCGGCCGCTTAATGAGTGATCGGAGGCGCGGCGCGCGGGGGAGTATGGTGGTGGTGGTCCCACGCC